ATTTAACATTAATTATTAATGTTAAATATTCATTTTAACCTTTTCATATTAAATAAAAATAGTTAAATTATTCTAGTTAAATTTAAAATGTTAAATGCTGAACAATAAATTTTAAATAAAGTTAACATTTTATTGATTACATATTACATTTAATATTTAGCATTTGTCATATAGCATTTATCATATAGTATTTTACATTTAAAATTTAACATTCATTACATAATTAAAAACATTTAAAATTCTACATCCATCATTAAACGTTTACCATTTGTTAATTTCAAGATAAATTTAAAATTTATTACTCAGCATTAAACATTTGCATTTATATTTAACAAGAACAATTTAACAATTAAAATTTAACATACAAAGTTTAAATTTAATATTTAACATTAATTATTAATGATAAATATTTAATTAAAACTTTGAGTGTTAAATTTAATAAGTTAAATTATTCTTGTTAAATTTAAAATGTTAAAAAATGCTGAATAATAAATTTAAACTTTGAGTTTTAAATTTAAAAAGTTAAACAATTGTTGATAAATTTAAAAAGTTAACTGTTAAATGCTGAATAATACCTTTTCAATAAAGTTAATATTTTATTGGACATATTACATTTAATCTTAAGCATTTGTCATATAGTATTTTACATTTAAAATTTAACATTCATAACATAAAATTTAAAATTGAATACGAAACATTTAACATTCTACATCCATCATTTATCGTTTACCATTTGTTATTTTCAAGTCAAATTAAAAATTCATTGTTCAGCATTTAACATTTTAAATTTTTTTTTTAATTTTTTTTTTTTAATTTTAATTGAACTTTCAAAGTTTATATTAAATATTTAACATTAATAATTTAACATTAATTATTAATGTTAAATATTAAATTTAAGCTTTGAGTGTTAAATTTAATAATTGAAATTATTCTTGTTAAATTAAAAATGTTGAATTTTAAATGCTGAATAATAAATTTCAACTTTGGATTTTAAATTAAAAAATTTAAATTATTCTTGATAAACTTAAAATTTAAAAACCTTTTAAATAAAGGTAACATTCATATTAAGCACTTTTCAGATAGTATTTTACATTTAAAATTTAACATTCATAACATAAAATTTAAAAGTGAACATGTAAGATTTAACATTTTGCATCCATCATTTAACGTTTACCAGTTGTCATGTTCACTGAAAATTTAAAATTTATTACTCAGCATTTAACATTTTAAATTATACAAGAATAATTAAACTATTTAAATTTAAGATGCAAATTTTAAATTAGGTATTTAGCATTAATAATTTAACATTAATTATTAATGTTAAATATTCATTTTAACCTTTTTTATATTAAATAAAAATAATTAAATTATTCTAGTTAAATTTAAAATGTTAAATGTGAATTGTTGAATAATGAAAATAAACTTTGAATGTAAAATTTAAAGAGTTAAATTATTCGTGTTAAATTTCAAATGTTAAATGCTGGATAGTGACGTTTAAATAAAGTTTACATTTTATTGAACATATTACATTTAATATTTAGCATTCGTCATATAACATTTTAAATTCAAAATTTGACATTCATAATATACAATTTAAAATTGAATATGTAACATTTAACATCAATTAAATTTTGAATATTAAATTCAAATAGTTAAATTATTATTGATAAACTTTAAACGTTAAATGCTGAATAATACCTTTTAAATAAAGTTAACATTGTAGTGAATATATTAAATACATTTAATATTGAGCATTTGTCATATAATGTTTTACATTTAAAATTCATCATTCAGAACATAAAAATTAAAATTGAACATGTAACATTTAACATTTTTCATTCATCATTTAACGTTTACCAGTTGTCATGTTCACTGAAAATTAATAAAAAATATTATTCAGCATTTAACATTTAACATTTTCTAAAAGACAAGAATAATTTAACTATTTAAATTTAACATTCAAAGTTTAAATTAAGTATTTAACATTAATAATTTAACGTTAATAATAATATTAAATATTCGATTTAACCTTAGTATATTAATTAAAAAAAATTAATTTATTCTCGTTAAATTGAAAATGTTAAATGCTGAATAATAACTATTCAATAAAGCTAACATTGCTTGAACATATTACTTTTAATATTTAGCATTTGTGATACAGCATTTATCATTTAAAATTTAACAATGATAATATAAAATTTAAAATTGAATACGTAACATTTAACATTCTACATCCATCATTAAACGTTTACCAGTTGTTACTTTCAAGTCAAATTTAAAATTAATTATTCAACATTTAACATTTAATATTTTAACAAGAATGGTTTAATAAATTAAATTTAACATTCAAAGTTTAAAGTAAGTATTTAACATTAATTATTAATGTAAAATTTTAATTAAACCTTTGTATATTAAATTTAAATAGTTAAATTATTCCCGTTATATTAAAAATGTTAAATGCTGAATGATAAATTTGAACTTTGAATGTTTAATTCAAATAGTTAAATTATTCTTGATAAACTTAAAAATTTAAAAGTTAAATGCTGCAAAATACCTTTTAAATAAAGTTAACATTTTATTGAACATATTACATTTAGTATTAAGCATTTGTCATATAGTATTTTACATTTAAAATTTAACATTCATAACATAAAATTTAAAATTGATCATGTAACATTAAAAATTTTGCATCCATCATTCAACGTTTACCAGTTGTCATGTTAAATAAAAATTTAAAAATTATTATTCAGCATTTAACATTTTACATTTTAAATAAGACAAGAATAATTTAACTATTTAAATTTAACATTCAAAGTTTAAATTAAGTATTTAACATTAATAATTTAACATTTATTGTTAATGTTAAATATTTAATTTGACCTTTGTATATTAAATTAAATAGTTAAATTTAAATAGTTAAATGATTTTCGTTTAATTTAAAATGTTAAATGCTGAATAATAACTTTTAAATAAAGTCAACATTTTATTGAACATATTACATTTAATATTTAGCATTTGTCATATAGCATTTTACATTTAAAATTTAACATTCATTGCATAAAATTTAAAATTGAACATGTAACATTTTACATAAATTAAACTTTGAATGTTAAATTTAAATAGTTAAATTATTCTTGTTATATTTAAAATGTTGAATGTTAAATGCTTAATAATCAATTTTAAATTTTTAGTGAAAACGACAAATGGAAATCATTATATAATGGATTTTTTGGATTTTTTTTACATGTTCAATTTTAAATTTTATGTTATGAATGTAAAATTTTCAATGTAAAATACTATATGATAAAAATTATATGATAAATTCTAAATATTAAATGTAATATTTTAAATAAAATGTTAACTACGAAGTCCAGAAATAAAATTTAAAATGTTTCATGTTAAATGTTGAACACATGTTCAATGGAAATTGGTTAAATGTTAAACTGTTATAGTATGAAACGTAATATCAAGGTACATAAGCACAATTTAACATTTAAATAAAAATATTTTTTTAAGTGCAGTCTAGTGCGTTTGAACTCTGCGGTCGAAACAACCGCATTTATATTTTTAACCGCAATAACTTCATGAAAGATAATTTAATTTTGAGCATTTTATTTAGATATTGATAGCCTTAACTTGATTTACTTACTTTGCAAGGCATATTGACTTTCTGACCTTTTATTATTGTCCTTTTCAATTTCATTGGATCTTTTGTCCATTCTAGCTTTTGTTCATCCAACCTTTTTTTGACGTAGTACTACGTCTGTGATTTATATATGGGAGTACACTTTGTGAAAACCGAAAATGAAACATGTAACGAAATTATGAATGATTTTGACCGTTGATAACTCAGCTGCCCCTGGACCAATTTCAATAATTTTATCACCAATCGATCAGATACGCATCTGCTAAATTTAAGACTTCATCATTTTTCAAAATGACACTATTGAAAATTGCACGAATGTGCAACTGTTGCTAAGATAATTAAAATTATCACCGATTGCCTGCGAAAAGCGATTTCCCTAACACAGATTTCAAAGTTGAATTCCATCCGGTCTCACGAAACAGTGTTTATTCAATCACTCCGTGGTAAGTGGTGGTGTTCTCCAGTACACAACGAAAGGCTGCCTGCAAGCAGCGAGCTGCAGCCCACATGAGCATCCATAGAAGGAGGAAGAAGCCGCACCGCTATTGATCGGAATCAGTAGCTCTTCGTGAGTCGCTGTGGGCCATCTGTGTCAAGCGGTCATACTAAAGAGTCTGAACAGAGATAACCGCGCTCAAGTTCCTATTTCTACACAAAACACAAGCTCCTGCTGCAGTTAACAAATAAGATTTATTATATAAGACCACGTAGTCCTACGTCACCATTGCGTACAACCCTATTGGGCTGTCTCTTGTAGTTTTTTTTCCAGTTCGACCTTGTGTTCATTCGGTTTTTTTTTCCATGTCGACCAACCCTTTTCCATTTCGATCTTTTGTTTGCTCGGAATTTTATCGATTCGACTTTTTTCATACGACCATTTGTTAATTCTACCTTTTGTTCGCTTAAATTTCATGCGACTTTTTTTCCATTCGACCTTTTGCCCCTTCAACCTTTTGTCTTTGGACCATTAGTCCTGCAACTGCCCTGATGAGCTTTCGCTCAGACTAAGGTTAAGTAATCAACTTCAACATGATATAGGGGAAATGGCCCTAATGTTGGCCTAAATTTCCTTAATTTGGGCCCATGCATAAATTCAGTAGTTGGTCAAATATTCGTTAGCAACCAAAAATATACATTGGTACCGCCACGATGATGCGTTCATCAAGATAAAATTGATAAATAGGAGATTTTTTAGTGATGGGCCCAATCTTAGATCCCTGGGCCAACATTAGAGCCATTTCCCCTACATATTCAATAATGGCATTTATTTGACTTGTACACTGTTTCAAACAATCCAATTCCAATTTAAATGCACTCAATTCACGAGCTATTTTTCCTTTGTTCTCCTTTCCAGATTCCATCCCGAGTAGTTGCATCGCTCTCACACATTTTATTAATCAGCCGTGTGCCACCCAGAAGCGTACCGCACAAAGCGCCACCGCCAGCATCCAGCCAAACTGAGCAACGACGACGACGACGACGACGACGACAACGAGGAGCAATCGAACCCCCAAAACAAACCAATAAATTATCCCAATCAAATCGCTCGCTAAAGTGGACCACGTTCACAAAAAGCTCGTCGCGTTCGAAACGTCCAGGGAGGAGAGATTTCCTAGACACCGTACGCTATTAAACTTTGACCTTTGCGCGCGCTTGCAATAATACACTTTAAGAAGAAAAAGCCAGGCCGAGCCAACCCAGAATTCAATCAATTGTGATTTTCTACTGCAAGAGTATCTACGTTTAACTAGAAAGTAGTATGTATGTTTTATTTCGTGTTTGAGAGCTGATTTTTTTTTATTATTGAATGCTATCAAAACGACTCCGTCTCCAGCCGTGTCTTGAGAAAAAGAAGCTGCACCGGAAAATTTAAAACGCGAGTTCTTCACAAAGTGTAGAAAGGAGAAGAAGAAGAATCCAATCTGTGATTATTTTTGTTAATTTTAAAGTATCGCTTTTAATCAACTTGGAAAATATAAATACGCCGTATACTACCTTATTTGTCGCGCAATTTTTGAGTGAGCCAGAGAAAAGAGTGAGAGAAGAGACGCTACAAAATTCAATACCTGTTTTTTATTGATAATTTATAAAATCTTAAGAGCAAACGAGCAAAAAGACAACCGGCAAAAATGTTCAACTCCAACCTCAGCCTGACCGTGCCGCCGCTGCTGGGCATCGATGGTGGCGTTTGCACCACGCCCAGGACGCCGGAAATCCTCAACTCGCTGATGGCCATGTCAAGCCCCCTAGATTTTTACTCAGGCGCTGTGACGCAGGCCAACACGACCACCTCCACCAACTCAGTGTCACAGGTGAGCCCCTCTCCCCCAAAATAGGTTTAATAGAATTAGTTACCCTCAATGAGAGCAACCGGCACTCCATCGCCTACTGTTGATTGCAATCCAGCGAAACCATATCAAACCGAACAGGCCATGCGAGTCGAGTTGTCCATCGTCCATTCCCTCGCGGTTTACTTTTTTTTTTATTGAAAGTAATAAAATGATAAATTTTTATTTTCGCCAAACCAATTCCCCTGGAAACGTACACTGAGAACCACGACAACATCGGAACGAAGCGAAATGAACTGCAGTAAAATGTCTTTCCCTTCCCCACGAAACCCGACTCCACACAAGTTTTATTTTTAATATGGCCCGACTTTCGATGGATTCTCGATGCTCTCTCTCTCTCTCTTTCTACATACACGTGTGATTCGTTTCTTCCTTCCTTCCTTCGCAGTTGAGTTGCATCGGAGCGCCCCATTAGCTCCAACTCCAGCAACCAAACGGAGAACGAACGAAAAGAACATAAACCCCGGCGTCGCCAGCGACTCTTGCGATGCGATCCGGTGAGGTGGAGCCCGCGGGAAGGCGGGGGCTAAACGGACGTGCGACTGAACATAAACATCAATGTTCCACATGCTCCTCTGAAAATCAAACAGAAAGTGAGACAGACACGGACAACGAGAGTAACTCAGGAGTCGAATTCGACGCAACATTGCAGAAAAGTGGAATTACTCTCAGTGAATGAGTAAAATTTTTCTCGCTTTTCAAGGGAAAAACTGCTCGAATATGAGGAAAATGGGCGAAAAATTTTACTCAGCCAAGGAGTATACTAATAGACTGAGTGAAATATTGAAGTAATCGAGGAAAATTCTACTCACTCACTGCACGTTTTGCACTTTTGAGTTGAATTCGACTGGGGTTACTGAGTTACTCTCATTGACCGTGTAGGAGCCGCCGCAACCGATTGAGTTTGGATTGAGTGGTGGTGAAGTAGATATGCGAATGGGTTGCGTATCGATGTCATTTTCTTCACATACGATTCCGGAGGAAGGAGGTTGGGATTGAGGTTGACTCCTCAGTTTTTAAGGGAATTCCAACCGGAGTTCCAAGCAAAAGTATGCCAAGTTATATTTAGAACTTCATTGAACCTGGCCATCTACCACTCTACTAGTTAGTAAGATTTGCCTACAATCATGAGAGGTTCATCATCGCAGGCTGTTAGTGGAGACCGCATGAACGGAGGATGAGATATACCGAGCTGCAATGCAATGCAAGAAAATTGGAGACCGAAAAATGTGCTTTCTCCACTGCTCTCTGCATGCTTCGATAGGCTAAGCGCTCATTTTCTCTCATACTCGATTTCGTATGCTTTTTCTGCGGAACGGGAATTGGAGAGAGTTGTGGCAAGTGTCTGTATCGTTTGTTACTTTACTTTCCTTCAGGATTGCACCTGTGTCACAATGTTACGCCAACTAACTCGGTTCGTGGCTGCTTGTCTCCAAATTCTTGACCGTCCCACACTTCCGAGATCTTGCTCCACTTGGTCTAACCACCTTGCTCGCTGTGCTCCTCTGCGCTTCTCTGTACCGGTCGGATTCGAGGCAAGCACCATTTTTGCGCGATTGTTGTCATTCTTACAACGTGTCCCGCCCATCGTACCCGTCCAGCTTTCGCGACGTTCTGGATACTGGGTTCGCCATAGAGTTGCGCCAGCTCGTGATTCATCCTTCTCCTCCATACACCGCTCTCACAAACCCCGCCAAAGATGGTCCTAAGCACTCCTCGTTCGAAAACACGCAGTGCTTGCAGGTCATCCTCGAGCATCGTTTACGTTTCGTGCCCGTAGAGAACTACTGGTCATATCAGCGTCTTGTACATGGTACATTTATTACGGGGGCGAAGTTTACACGACCTTAGGGTCTTGTGGAGTCCGTAGTAAGCACGGCTTCCGGCAATTATGCGTCTACGAATTTCTCTGCTGCAGTTGTTATCTGACGTCACCAATGATTCGAGGTACACAAATTCATCCACCACCTCGAACTCATCTCCGTCGATTGTCACGCTTATGCCTATGCGAGTCCTATCGCGCTCGGTTCCTCCAGCTAACAGATACTTTATCTTCGATGTATTCACCTTTAATCCAGCCTTCTCTGCTTCACGTTTCAGCCTGGTGTATTGCTCCGCCACGGCCCGAAACGTTCTTTCGACAATGTCCACGTCGTCAGCGAAGCAGATGAACTGGCTGGACTTATTGAAGATCGTGCCCCGCATGTTAAAGCCCGCACGTTTCATAACACCTTCTAGAGCAATGTTGAACAGGAGGCAGGAAAGACCATCGCCTTGTCGAAGTCCTTTGCGAGTTGCAAACGGGTCCGATAACGCACCCGATATCTTCACACAGCACTGTACACCATCCTGCGTAGCCCTGATCAGTCTGGTCAGCTTCCCGGGAAAACCGTTCTCGTCCATAATCTTCGATAGCTCTTCACGGTCAATGGTATCACAGACGGCCTTGAAATCGATGAATAGGTGGTGCGTAGGGACTTGATATTCACGACACTTTTGGAGGATCTGCCGCAACGTAAAGATTTGGTCCGCTGTCGATCGCCCGTCCACAAAACCGGCGTGATACTTTTCCACAAATCTGCTTGCTATAGACGATAGACGGCGAAAGATGATCTGGGAAAGCACTTTGTAGGCCGCGTTGAGAATAGTGATCTCTCGATGGTTCTCACATTCGAGCTTGTCGCCTTTTTATATATTGGGTATATTCCTCCCTCCTTCCCGTGCCCATTTTGATAAGTTCCGCTCCGATATCATCTTTACCAGCTGCTTTGTTGTTCTCAAGCTGTAGGATAGCATCCTTAACTTCACCTATCGTGGGAGCTGGCATGTCCTCCTCATCAGAGCGTAAAATTATTCACTGCTTAGGATGAGCGTGAAGGCACTGCTCTATTCAATTCATTGCTCTATCCAAACCGTATGTACCAAACGGTAAAGGACGAGGCAATGAAAGAGCCAATAAAAATATTCAGTCACTCACGAAGGGGCGACTCACACCGCTTGCGTTCGCTCACACAGCATGTAATTGAGGCATTTTTCCATAGAAAATGTACGCTCAGTCATTCAAAACAAGGATTGGGTACCATTACGGAAGAATAAACGTGCTGCCTGAGCTACTGACTGAGTGCTCTGCTGTCAGTGACTCGTTTGATTCTCAATCATTCAGACTCTCGCGAGGCAGTGAATGATGAGACGGATGGCTGTTCATATTCATATGAAAATGACTCATTGAACCTGACTGTTTTGCGCACTGCTCCTCATCCGCTGTACCGACAAAGCCATTCCTCCTGCTGCCTTGGTCCTCTGCACCTGCGCCATTCAGATGTTGATCGTAGTGCTGCTTCCACCTTTCAATCACCTCACGTTCGTCCGTTCCTTATCCCGACGCATTTCGGCTCGCAGCACAAGGCCTTTGCGGGATCCGTTGAGTTTCTCGTAGAAATTGCGCGTTCAGCTGCTGCATTTCTTCGCACTCCAGCTCTTCCAGGCGGCGCTTCTTATCCCGGAAAAGATGGTTTTGGTGTCTTCGCATCTGTTTGTATCGCTCCACATTTTGACGAGTTCCTTGGGCAGCAACCTAGCCCGCGCTGCGTACTTCTCGTCCAAAACCGTCTGACACTCCTCGTCGAACGAATCGTTCCGACGATTCCGTTCCACAAACCCAATGGCACCTTCAGTAGTTTTCACGTTCATCCGGCAACGCTGCGTCGAGGCATTGCGCGTAATCAGTTGCGACTTCGGGCAGCTGCAGTCGCTCCAGATTGTACCGTGGCGGGCGTCGGTACCGAATGTTGTTGGCAACGAAAAGTTTTTGGCGCACCTTAACCATTAGAAGGTAGTGGCCCGAATCGATGTTTGCGCCGCGATAGGTCCTGACGTCGATAATGTCCGAGAAGTGCCTTCCGTCGATCAAAATGTGGTCGATTTGCGATTCTTTCTGCTGCGGTGATCTCCAGTTGTACCGGTATGGGAGGCTATGCTGGAAGTAAGTACTACGTATGGCCATGTTCTTAGAGGCGGCGAAATCGATGAGTCTGAGGCCGTTGGCGTTCGTTAGCTGGTGAGCGCTGAACTTTCCTGTAACCGGTCTGAATTCCTCCTCCTGGCCGACCTAAGATCTCCGATAACGATTTTGACGTCATGGCTTGGGCAGCTGTGGTATTCCCGTTCCAACAGCGCGTAGAAAGCGTCTTTATCGTCATCTTCACTTGCTAAGTGAGGGCTGTGCACGTTGATTATGCTGGCCTTTGATCCTCAACTTGCACATTCTGCTGTCGATTGGCCACCATCCAATCACGCGCTTCTGCATTTCGCCCATCACGATGAAAGCTATACCCAGCTCATGTATATTGCCGCAGCTCTGGTAGATGGTATAGCCATCCCTATACGTATGTACCGAAGGGGGCGACTCTATCTAAGATGCAGGAAAAATGTTGCTTTGTTGTTTTGAGATACTCGCACACTTAGTAGATATGAAGAAATTTTAAGAAGATTTTGAAGATTTCCTGCAAAAAGGTGGCGAGTAGATAGATTTAGATGCAAGAGCTGAAAAAAGATTTTTCGTAGATTGATTCGCTATCGTGACATTTTCTGACCATCTTAAATTGAGATTTAGATGTGTCGCATCCCCAGGTATGTACCGACAATCCCTTCCAGCATACCTCCTGCAGCGCTACAATGTCGAACTAGCGAACCCTCAATAAATCGGAAATAATGCGGGTACTTTCTAAGAAATTGCGAGACTTTCAGTTCTATGTTCCAAGTTTCCAATCGTTAGTCCGTTTTCGTTGCCTGGGTCTATGCCAATTTTTCCGGTCCGTTTTTACATTCCTTGCTTCCTGAACCTGAACTTTAGTTTTTTTTTACGGCTGGCTTGTAGGGCCTGCACCAACCCCCATTGTCTCGCCAGAGGACCATCGTACACAGTACTGTTTAGAGTCCCACGTTGGCACCAGGACGTTGATCAG